ATCCTTGTATTTTTTATACAGTAGTGACCACATTTTAAGAATGAATAAACTATTTTCTCCGAGATTAAAGTATGATTTGCTCTTTGAATTCAAAACAAACAACACAAATACCTAATACTACTTTGTAACAGTCAATTTTTGTAAAATAAAACTTTATGTACTAGTCAACATGTCAAAATATAAATGAGTAGTATTGTAGTCACTAATTTAACAACAATATATATATATATATATAAGTTTATAATGTTATGTTATTACACACACTATAATTTTCTAAAGTAGTGTTAACCATGTTAAATAGGTTTTGAATACAAAAAAGACTTTAGGATCGTCTGGAAATAAAGAGATTCGGTCGGGAAACTTCTTTTTGATTGCATGTAAAAAGTTATGCCCTAGGCATAATTCAGCGGTGGTAGAACATTAAAATAATCGATTTTTAAAAAGGACTATCGTATTGCCGATTTTGGGGTGGTCCGATTAGTTATCGATTTTCAGAGACAATCGGGACAAAACTAAGTGCATTAGTATTTTTGACAGAGAGAACACTATCGGAATCCAGAATTACACAAGATATTAATAAATGCAATTTGCAAAACATTGTTATTGACTGGTTGGTATTAAGGTGTTAGTAAGTTTTACTAAATTCAATATAAACATTTTAATAATGAAAGGGTCCATAACTCTGGATACCTTTATCTTATTTTACCAATTATAACTTTATAAGATTAATTAAAGATAACAGACACACAAGTATTTTTATGCAAGTTGATAAGATTACTTTAGAAATATGAAGAAAACATTGCAAACAAGATAACAAGTGCCTATTTCTATGAATAAACAGAATGGTGATGAAAAAATCTAGTTTATAAACATTTAAAATCATATGATAATAAATAATGTGTTAAATTTTTGTATAATTATAATATTATCAATTAAGAGATTTTCATTTAATATGATTTTGGAATGGAAACGTTTCAAATGATGAAGAAAATTGAAAAACCTTTAACCTTTGTTTTTATTATTCTCTTACAGTGTAAAATCAAATTCAGCTGTGGTTTTCTGCCATTATTAAAGCATTGTGTTCAAGTCTGACTTTCTGAAGAAAAATTGTAGAAGGTTTTATGCAAATATTTAAGTTATTAGAATTTTGATTAATATTAAGGTTTGAATCATGATCCAGTGATGTTAGATGTAACAATTATATACCAGAACCTTATAAATGTTAAGCTCTGAATTTTAATCCAGTAAAAATTACAGCCCTTAACTATTGATACATGTATATAAAATTCATCAGTTTGTTATTTTATTAACACTATTTTTTAGCTCACTCTGTAAAACAATAGTATAGGAATAAACCTGAATTACAATTTTCAATATCAAAAGATTTCCACATTATTTTAAAGTTCAACTATTAAATAATATTACATTAATATGGAAAATTCACAGCTTTCACATGTATTTTACTGTAATTTACTTTTATGTTTAAAATTTGTTAAACATATCTTTCATTTAATCTGGACTGGGTATTGCAATGAAAAATTTAATATTGTGATATATTGCAATATATACAGACATATTATTGCATATTATACAAATATGTACTTTTTAGCTGGTGACTATAGTGTGATATGTACTGAAAAAATTAATATTGACCGAGGTGATTCTTTAGCCAAGGTCAATATTAATTTATCAGTACATATCACACTATATTCACCAGCTAAAAAGTACATATCTGTTTTATAATATAATTCATAAATAGCTTTTATATGGCTTATTAATTCTGCCATTATGCCTACAATGGAAATTGACATTTTGAGCTTGTCTAATTTTTCCATTATTTGGCCCTATCTTTTAAATGAGTGCATTAGCAAGCTTATTTTTAGTGTTCTTTAAAATGTTATGACTAATTTGACTCTTATTTAAGAGTCATCCAATTTTATTTTTTTCAGAATAATATATACATGGTACAACAAACTTGGCGTGATGTTGCGTCATAGTCTCATACCTTTCAGGAAATTTCCAGAAAATCTATTTTAGATTATATAATAATGTGATTTATCACATACTCGTGCCGCTTTTGCAACTCGGTAAAAATGATATTGCACGTGACATCATTTGCACATAAAAACATAGAGTTAAGACTCCCTATATGTTACCCGTTACACAATAGGCACATAATTGAAAAATTATTCTTTTTTTCAATTTAAAACACTCTTTATTTTTGGTATGTGATAAAATAGAATATACGGGTAGATTCATTTAAGTTTAATACTAAATTTATTAAACTCGTTGAATAAAATATTATAATCGCAAGAGGCTCCCATAATATAATTTTATTTAACTTGTCCAATGGATTTCATATTAAACTTACACATCATTCAATACTCTATATATTGCGATATTAACAGACATATTGCATATTGCAATATATTACAATATTAACAGACATATTGCAGTAAGTTATGAACTAAGTAAAAAAACTTTTAAAGGGAAAATCTACAAAAAGCTTGACTTTTATAGTTTTTTTTATAATTAAACTTTTTATGAAGGCCCTTTTTTTAAAATTTTGCACTTTTTTTTAAAATAATAAATGTTTTTTAAAAAGGGGTTCCAAAAACTTTTTTGCAATATATTTTAAGTCAAATATATATAAGCAGAGAATACTTCTTATTTATAAGGGTTTATAAAAAGATAAATCAATAATTTTCGAGGTTCTACAGTTGATTGCATTGGTCAATACATATCATTTTTTATTCAGTACATATCATTTTCACCAGGTGAAATTTAGTCCCAATCTGTTTTATAATAAAATGTAAAATAACTTCTATATGCCTTTTTAATTTGGTTCTGAATAACACACAATTTTAGATTTTTAATTGTCCATAACTTTGGTTAGGGCCTGTCAAAGAATGCACAGGAAAATCTAAATTCTTACTAGTCCTAAATGAATGTGCCAAATTACAAAACAATGTTTCTTTTTATCTTTCATTTTAGTTCATGACACTTATTTGAACAAAACTTCTTTACAATAACAACAACAAATGGATATGATGTCAAGTCAAAACAGAAAAAATTGTAAAAGACTTCTTGCTTGCCCTTAAAAAAATGTTTACTAATGTATGACAAAACTGAAAAAAGGCTTTACAATATTCAAAAGCTAAAGAGTCATAAAAAAACTTCAAATTAAAGCAGAGAGGTACAAAAGTTTTTTAAAAAAGGGAATTTTTTTATATCCCATTTTTAAAATTTTAAAAATAAAGAATTTTATACTTTTCTTTAAAAATTCTTAGTGAACACTAAGCTAAGTAAGTTTGAAATTTGTTTTTTCACTAGTGGGTTTTTTTTTTGGGTTTAAAAAAAAAAAGGGGGCAAAACATACTAATTTTACTTAAAACCTTTTTTCATAACTAAATTTTGGGGGGTTCCAAAATTTTTTTATTGCATTTTATTAAAATTAAAAATAATTTAAAAAAGGGAATTGTTTAAAAAATTTATGGGATAAAGGGGTGTTTGATTTTGGGTTTCAGAATTTATCAAAAAGTCCTTTTGGGTGAAATATGGACTTAGCTGAGTTTTGCGCTGAGCCATCGATATATATTCAATTTTTTATTGAAATGCTTTTAATATATCGGTTTAAAATACAGTACTTATTCTGGGGCCGATTTGGTAAAGGGCCGAAACGTCCGGGGCCGAAACGTCTTGGGTAGTTTGGGGCCGAAACGTCTTGGGGCCGAAACGTCTCGAAATCAACCATATAATAAAGTTATTAAAGATCCTGTAACACAATTTTTTCATGGTTTTATTTCATAAATATGATGCTCAAATTAAGATTTGTCAATATTGTAAGTTCCAATAAGCATCATTTATAAAGATATTACCCAATTTAACATTTCATGTAAATAAAGGGAGGTAATTAGAAATTTATTTTCTATAGATTCTAAGTCAAATTTTGCAATAAGAAATGAATGCCTGTAATTTATTGATTAAATAAAATGTGCACAAATATTTGCAGTACACATTTTACATATTCTTCGATGTTTGAAAATTGTTTTATTTGCATAAATATGTACATATATAAGTTTTTGCTAGTGTGGTATTCATACAGTACAAATATCAATCACAAAACATACAGGATCTTTAAAAACATTATAAGGCTACAATTTGTCTGTAATTTAATTGCCCCAGTTAAGGCTTTTACACATAATAGTGATAATGAATGATTATATAAACACCAATAATTATGTGTGAACATATGCATTTATTCAAATGTGTTGAACAAATAAGTAAGAGCAATCAATAAACAAAGAAATATTAATTGTGAAAAAACTGCCCTGAAAAAATCTTGGTCTTTATCATGTCTTTATTTGATGTAAATTCGAAAATATATTTTCATAAATATGAAAATACTTTAACTTATGATGTCTATTTTGGCACCCTTACTATAATCAGTAGAAATAATCAAGAGAAAAAATAATGAAATAATTTTTTTTTTAATAACTAATTTTGGAAATATGTTAGGACTTACTCCACAGAATGATATTACATCCATGCTTACTCTATGCAGGGCTGCAGATAACATGCGTATTTGCGTTATTACCAAATTAAAATGTCGAAAAACGCAATAGAAATAATAACTAAGGGTAAGAAAAAGTAAATAAATTCTTATTTATGCAAACTACATTTGAACTGGTGCTTGATGACCAGCCCTTATTAAAACTGTGTCTACAGGTTTAGACCCGAAACCGAGAGAAGAGAGAAACATTTTAATATTATTCATATAGCACTTCTTTTTCACTTTTTCTTATTATCTTTCTACCATTTTTCTAAATTTATGTTTTATCTAAAATTCTTACCATACTGTACAAACTAATTTTAGGATGAACTGGTTTAGAATGATGTGTTATTAAAAGATTCTACCAGTTTTGGAACTACTGCTCCTTGATCAGAACTAAAAGTAAACAACATTCAGCCGTCTAGAAATCAAACGATAATTATCTTACCGTAGCGGTGTGCCTCGCCTGAGGATTGGCAACACATAATTTATTCATGTTTTTCGATGAACTACCACCCATGCATAAAAACAAGAAAACACTTGAAGCGGACACTATTGTGCCAATTAAAATAATGTTTTTATTTGTTGTCAGTGTAAAATTATCTAACATCAAATTCAGATAATTAATTCAGTTTGTTTCCTCGGATGCTGACTTTTGCCGGACGTAGTGTAAAACGTCACTAAACTTTGTGTACTAAAGCACCCCTAAGAAAACAAAACACCAACAAGAAAATGGTTTCAGACAACAACAAAAACCCGTCTGAACAAGTATCTAGAGTCATATGATATTTTTTTTTTTTTTTTTTTTTTTTTTTTTTTTATACATTTTAGGAACATAGCACATGATACAAAATATAAATTTTGTGTGAAGAGAAAGGTTCTTTTAGAAAAAAGTAAGGTACAATAGATGACATATTCTCTCTTGAAAATGTTGATTTTTATTTATCAAGGGGTAAAAATTTAGGCTAGATGTATGGACTTAATCAAACTGAGTCTGCAATGCTCTTATATAATTGTGATCGTGATTAATGCTTCCGACGGATCACTTTGTTTCCAGATTTTTATACTTCACAACAGCAGGTGTCAAGTGCTGTGTGGTATGGCAACTGTAAAAGTTGCCCAGTACTTCACTTCAGTGTTGTTGTATTTTTATTGTCGATGCCAGAACTATTAAGTGTTGAGAATTGAGTACCGCTCAAGCCGGTGCTACGGGGCTTGAGGGATGTTGCACGTATTCATTATCCCTCATGTACAGACTCAATCAAACCGAGTCTGCAATTTTCTTATAATTTTGTTGTGGTTAATGCTTCCGAGAGATCACTTTGTTTCCAGATTTTCAGAATCAAATGTTTTCCGATTAAAATAGTATATTACTTCAGTACAAAATGGAAAAGTTACTCCGCAATGATGACAATATAGAGAAGTATAGATTTAATATTCAGTCTGCATGTTCCCATTGAGCAGCACTTTCTTATTTTGATCAAATGGTATCTGATTTTATCCCCATGAACTACGTACAACTTAATAAAACAACCTTTTTAAATTTTAGTACATCATTTTTGGATTTTCAAATTACTGTCAACAACAATTCTTTTCACACGTAAATCAGCATGTATGATGAAGGAGTTGACTTTGATTTTTGTATAATAAATTATCCACATATACGAGATGGAAACGTACTGCATGCAACATCTTACGGGATTTATGCATCTCAGTTAATTAGATTTGCTATAGCTTGTAGCAACGTATCGAAATACTTTCATTGCTAGCAAGCTACTTAAACAGGGCTACCGCTATTATATATTATGTAAATATTTTACAAAAAAAATTATGGGGATGTTACTTATATACACAAACATCGTAAGATCTAGGGTCATTGTGATTATTCTATTGTCTATTACTTATTAAAAGCGGTTGTGACCCTACTATTCTAAGACATACTGCATGCTTAGTGTTCAACTCCGTTACAGTTGGACGCTACGCTTACATCTGACGGACCATGTCGGCGACGTACTTTATGATTTACAGTTTTTAAAGCCCTTTGGAACTGAATTGCCTTTATGTTCGTCTTTTGCCTTGCTTCGTCGGACCCTTGTAAGTAATTTTCTTGCTGCACTTTCTTCCTTTAAGACATTGAGTACTTTTGTTAAGGTCATAGATTTTTCTTTTACATGTTTCTACATGATCATTTCGTTTTTTACTTATTTCATATTTTGTAACCATTACAACTGTAAGAATTTCACTTGGCGGGGATTCATTTTATATACACTTTCTCGTTTATAGCAACATGGTGATGCTTAGCGTGAGGTTTGGTGCACCATTAACCAGTTTAATCTCCCCAGTAGTGCTTATGCTGCTGACCGTTCCAAGGTTGCACACCTCTGTGTTCCTCAAATGTATGTCTTTGTTGTTTCACACAGTTTTGGTGACACTTTTGTTTGTGGCCCTTGTTCTTTTCTCGTTTTGCCCCTAGTTTTATTTTTTTGTTTAATTTTTCCCCCTCCTTTCCCGAATCTCGTGTACCCCTCCCCCTGTGCCCTTTTACTTTGTAGGTCTTTGAAATAATCAATTATTCTTTTTTAAAATTTCCTTGTCGGTTACTATTAACTCCTTTTAAGTATCATTTAAGTGATTATCCTGTCCGTGCTCTGCCTTGCGCCCTGTCCAGTTTGGGGTCCCCCTGGGCTCCTTGTCGCTGGTTCTTGTTGCTGGGTCGTGTGGAGGTTGCGTTCATTCAACACCGCCTTTCCTTGTTGATCTTGTCTATCATGTTTTATTCTTTGATTCTTTGGAGTGTTTGTACAAACTATTAATACACTGCAGATTATTATTTACATAACCTGCGTATACCATTAAATGGAACACAACATTATTACTAGAAAAATATCTATACACTATAATGTTAATACTTAAATGTTTAATGGTCTTTGGGCTGAACACTGTCATATTACCCTGAGGTCTATATAGACCGGAGGCTGATGACTGTCTAAGTTCAATAAAAAGGCAAATCCATTATAAATTATCTGAATTATTGTCAATTTTATTAAAGAACTGACTTAAACTATAATGCATTGCTTTGGACGTCTTTCCTCTGTATATTGTTGCTGCTAGAAGGGAGCTTAAGATTTGGTATGTCCGTCGGTTATGAATAGTGTATGATTCCAATACCTTAAAAACTTTCCGCATTAGTGTCTGAGAGTAATTATATAATGTGCAAGTGATTTGAAGTCAACGACCTTAACCATTGATCGGCCAAGCACGCTCCACGATTTTAATAAAAAAAATAAAAGTAAATATTCAATTTTATTTATAAATTAAGTAAACTGAGCCATTTTTACTGACGAAATTAGCATTTTCTCTTAATCATACCCTAACTGAAATTTTCTTTCCGGCTAGTCTTTCAAATTCTAATGGAATTTACTGATGTAACGACATTGACTAATTGTGGTAGGCCTTGAAGTTTTAAGGTTTTTTTTTAAAGATTTCATTCAATACTGTCATGGCTCATGAGAACATGTGACATAAAATCAAAATTGTGAACATAACAACCGGAACACAGAAAAAATATACATAAAAACAGGAGAATGAGTGACAATCATATTGTACCCGTACAATAAAATAAAGATGTGAGTAAATTCTTAATAATAAATAAAATTTATGCTTCATTAACAAAATTTTCTAGGAGACTAATAATACAACATTATATTATATCAAGTTGTAACTATTTCTGTACAAAATAAAGCAAGGTTTTTGTTTTAAATGTGACTTGTTTTTACTATTCATAAGATCTTCAAGTTCCAATGCATTTGTGTATCTATAATAAAACGGTTTCTTAAATATACGTCTGCTATAAACAAAATGTGAACAATAAAACATAATGAAATTCGTCACCCAATTGCTTTGACTCACATAAAGTGCATATACGTAAAATAGAGAAAATAAGAATCCCTAAAGAAAGCCCAACACAACATAATTGAAAATGTTGCAGGCTCGGTTTGATTGAGCCTGTTCATGGACGGTACTGTCAAGTGCAAACTACCGTCCACGCCCCCTAGCACCGGCTTAAGCAGAATTCAACATTTAAACATGAAATTTTGAATTTTGAAACATCCGCAGATGTTTTCATACGGCGGTTATCATGGAACCTTCAACGTGACACTTCCGTGCCATTCCATGAAAAGCGGCGTATGGTCCCCAAGTAATAAAAAGCGTGTGCCCTAAACGAGAAAACAATGGGCGGAACTAAATAAAATGGAATTTTGAAAGGGGATCAGAGGTTATGAAGCCTGCATATCACAGATAAGACGTCAAAAGACAAAGTTAAAAAGCAGGCAACATATCCTAGGGGTGATTCAACATTATTCAAGTAGGAATATTGGAACCACCCAACTAGAAAATGCGAAAAGTTAAAACTAAAAATACCACAAGCACAACAATAATGTCGTGCTGAATCCCTCAATTAGCATTTTATGATTCATACATCTAAATTTTAACAAAGCGACAGTTGCCAAGGAAGTATTTTAAAATGATTTTTCAAATAAAAAATCAGAATTATATAAACGGTAGTTTAAACATTTGCTTAAAGACTGGACATAACTGTTCCAACTGATATCAAAGTTTAAATGGAACAAGACTTTTGAAATTAAGCGGACTAAGTACAGATTGACTTAACCAATAATTTGATTAACCAAGTTCGTCCAAAGTAACCTCAACAAAAAAGAAAGCCACGGTAATTCAGTTCTATATTTAACATATTCAGAGTATGTGCATTTATATAAAATATTACAAATCTTAGCATCTAAAGTTACTATTCAAAAGCTTACACCATATGCAGTAGTTTATAATTCTACTTTTTATTTCCAAAGATATCGAAGTAACTCCAAGTTCACTATATAACATACAATTGGGAGTACTTTACTAGAGGTTAGGTATAATTTTGTAAAATTTAAGCTGAAACTGATCAATGAACTTCTATTTTTATTCCCCAAACTTCAGAGCCATAACAAAGAGGAGGAACAATCATATTGTATTAAACCAGTGGATCTGTAGATCTAAAGATTACTTGACAATTGTAATCGATTAAATTATGATTATTTGTCAAAATGCTTGATTAAATTAAATTACTGATTACTCCATTTTGACATTGTAATTGATTAAATTACTGATTACTGACAGGAGTAATCAGATTACATTTATGATTACTGATTACATGTACATAAGTTAAGAAATGCAATGGTTCAACACTATCGTTTTATTGAACATTTCAATACAACAAATGTACAAAAAAATAATCCAGCTTAGTTTTACAGTAATTAATTCAGTCTACGTATGTACATGTGTTGCCTCCTATTTACTAAGCTATATTCTTTTCTGGCAATATGAAGTATTTAAAAACAGCAGGCATATTTCCCGCCATGCTTGCGTATTGCTTTCTTTTCGATATGATGAAAATCTTTTTGTACTTTTTGCTTCTACATGGACTTAACAATACCAAAATGTAATAGAAAATGTAACAGAAAATATAACCATATCTCACTTTTGTCAGTAATTTCAGCTTATACATGTACTTGCTCTTTACTGAACCTGTAAAGTCTTCTCAATAAGTGATAATATATACCTATCCAGGCCATTGTTATAATTTCACAGCTAAATTTAAGTGGTATAATAGTAACAATCTTTTATGTATTGGGTCAATCTGTCAGTGATCTTTTCATCACCTTATTAAAACACAGGTGTCATCAAATCTGACCTGGGTGACTGCATTTAATTCACCTACAACTACCTAAGACAATTAGTAGGCATTGACACTGGTACTTTTTTAACCTTTATATGTATGTTTGTTCAGCAATTTTTTTTAGCTTATCATGTATTGTAATCATACATGTAATCATTGTGATTACTGATTAATTGGTCATGTAATTGATTAAATTATGATTAAATTACAGGTTACTGATTACTGTGATTACTCAAAAAATTGTAATCGATTAAATTAAATTAAATTACCGATTACGATTACCCCATGTCTGAAAGATAGTGACAATTTCTAGCTTTTTTATCACAAAGAACATAGCTTCTGAAATTTAGCTTTCCCCGCCTTTGTTTTTGAAGGGTTCACATTTAAATTTCAAACATTACAACATTCTAGCCTGAAGCTCGTATAATTTGAAGAATAACTTGAAACAAGTTATGGTAGTTAAAAACCTTTGGAGTAATATGATAAGATGGTTATAAATTAAGATGTTTTGTAAATAAACAAATAAGAAGACATTTGTTGGATAAAATGTATCAAATTATATCACATGACATTTTATTTTTAATCATCATCAGTGTTTTGCTAATTAAAACTAATTGTAAGTACAGTACTTCTGGCAATATGAAACTCATTACAATTCGTACTCAAATCAATTCGAACCTCAAAATATTTTTAAAAAAAACTAAGAAGGAAGTTTGTTAAACAAGGTATTTAGCCTTTAGGTCTCGACTAGCCTCTGTTTAATATAGTTAAATATACATGTACTGTTTTTCAAGTGCGAATGAAAAACAACGTGTCAATGTAGTTGATGAATTTGAGAAGTTTGGAGGATTGGCATATTTCTATGAATCCGGGTCAGCTCGGCCCTAAAACGTACTCGGCCCCCGAGTCAGCTAGGCCCTGTTCCAACTCGGCACGGGTCAACTCGGCCCACTTTTCAATTATCAATATTTAGGTTTGTGTTATTACTATTTATTGTGATAATCGTAATTATTTATAATACACGGATTGACAGTTTCCGAACTAGCAGCAGACAGGCTTTTCTTATCGAGTAAAGATAACCGATTGAGTATCTCACTGTATTTCTGACTTGTGGTAGGTTTAACTGTAAATTTAAATACCTTCAGTGTCAAACAATGTGTTGAAATATATACTGAGAGGAAGCTAAGATCACCAGCTTTTAATTGGTGTAATAAATTTTAAAATCGGACATTAAATCACACTAGCGATTTAAACACGGCTAAATTTGCATTCTTTTGCAAGCGAAGGGAAACTAAGGGAAACAACTCTTGTTTTTTCACTCGATTTACCTCGGTTATTTACCTAGTTCATAAAGAGACTGTCAATTGGTGGAGACAGTTTGAGCAAACAGTGCTTATATAGAAGCTTATGATATTAAGTAAACACGTTTTTGTTTCATATTTTTTTGAATATTACTTTACAAACAAAATGCATCTAAGGAAACACATTTTTATTAGACCTATAGTAATTTTATCGAATCTGCAAGACAAATAAATATAACAATTTTTTCAAAATATACTTTATTTCGGCAGAAGTACAATGTATAATTATATAGTTATAAGATATTTCTTATTATTCATTTACCTTAACAACATGAAAAGCAATGTTAATACGTTATATATATTTTTGTAAAGTGGGCCGAGTTGACCCGTGCCGAGTTGACCTGTGCCGAGTTGGTATAGGGCCGAGTTGACTCTTCCATTTCTATCACTTTCCATGGCCTTTACTTTACATGTGTATACATGGTATATAGTTTGCCATTAGTTGGTTCGATAGCTCAGTTGGTTAGACCAATGGCTGTCACTCCTGAGGTCATGGATTTAATCCTGGATAACACCCTTCGGCCTTGGGATTTTTCAGAGACACTTTAGTGTTTCCCACCTAACTACATTGTATATACATGAAGGGTACTGGTAAGAAATCCAGTTAATCCTTGCATGTACAGACCAACTGTCCCCAGGTTTATCGAAAGAACTTCATACTGAAATTGCCCCAGTTCTCACAAACATCTTCCAAATTTCCTTAAAAAAAATGGTACTGTCCCTCATGACTGCATGGAAGCATGCAGTCTGGGTTAATCTTGGGTTAATATTTGCTGTATTCATTTGCTGACATCCATTTTTCAGTGGAAAACAACAAAACAATTAAAACTATTTGAGCCGTGTCACAACAAAACTAACATAATGGGTTTGCGACCTGCGCAGTCTGATCAGGATCCATGCTGTTCGCTGTCAGTTTCTCTACTTGTTATAGGGTTTGTAAGCGAACAGCATGGATCCTGATCAGACTGCGCGGAGGATCCATGCTGGTCGCAAACCCATTATGTTGGTTTTGTCATGACGCGGCTCATTTATTTATTATTTTGCTATTTGGATGTTGCAGATGCTGCTTATTTTTCTGATGTTCATTGGAGTACAGCTATAAAGTTATCACAGTACGAGAGCTATAGATCAGTTACCCTACTTTCATACAATGTACCAGAACAAACAGCAGATGTTTCCTTCAGTTTCCAGGCAAAAACATCAGGCAAAGCTTGCACATTCAGAGAAGTTCATGTGTAAGGAAATTTTTAGAAAGATTGTATAATATATTTTAAGTTTAACAGAAATGAGTTCATGATAAATTTAGTGTATGATAAATTGTTATGAATTATTATTCAAGGTTTGAAGTAATTAATTCATATAAGGACTCTTATTATCAATTAGTACAGTTATAGTGATTTAGTATTTTGTATGGAAGTCAAAATACTAATTAATGTGTTTACATTTTGCTACTGTTATGACAATTATTTTACATTTAAAACTATTTTCTTCAGGTAATAAGCATCTAACATGCTCTAAAGCAATTATTTAAACATAAAGTTCATGTTTTCCCTAAAATTTTAAAGTTCATGTTTTCTCTAAAAAAATTATTTAAATAATTTTTGATACCTTTATACACAATTTAATATGTAATTTTTTTGTTGAAAAATTAATAGAAGAAAAATTCTGAATTTATAATTTTAGTGATGTTCAATTGCATTGCAGATTTTTACATAAAATTTTAGTATTATAATTCAGTGGTAAATCGTCTAATAAAGAATTTTATAATATGTGATTTTGTTTTCAGATACCTTCAGCAAGGGAGTTATCCTTTGGTGACCCCATACAATGAGACATATCCACCAAATTTCTACTTGAATAGGACAGATTTGTTTCACATTGAGATACAGAAAGATGCAGATGCTGTGTCATATATAATCTCTAGTCCGAGACCTGGTAACTGGTATTTTGCGGCTTTTCTGCCTAAACCCACTTCAGATAAAATACAGATAAAGGTATATTGTTTAATATGTGAGGTATAGAACTTAATTTAGATTAAATATAATTAAAAGGTATAAAGTTCAGGAAATAATTTTGAGTGTGTTTTTAGCTCACCTGTCACAAAGTGACAGGGTGAGCTTTTGTGATCGCTTTTCGTCCGGCGTCCGTCCGTCCGGCGTCCGTCCGTAAACTTTTGCTTTAAATGACATCTCCTCATAAACCACTGAGCCAATTTCATCCAAACTTCACAGGAATGTTCCTTTGGTGGTCACCTTTAAAAATTGTTCAAAAAATTTAATTCCATGCAGAACTCTGGTTGCCATGGCAACCGAAAGAAAAATCTTTAAATATCTTCTTTTAAACAACCCTAAGAGCTAGAGCTTAGATATTTGGCATGAAACATCTTCTAGTGAGTGTCTACCAAGTTTGTTCAAATAAAAGCCCTGGGGTCAAAATTGGCCCCGCCCCAGGGGGTCATTGATTTTCCCTATATGCATATAGTAAAAACTTAAAAAATCTTCTTTTAAAGAACCCAAAGAGCTAGAGCTAAGATATTTGGCATGAAACATCTTCTAGTGAGTGTCTACCAATTTTGTTCAAATAAAAGCCCTGGGGTCAAAATTGGCCCCCCCAGGGGGTCATTGATTTTCCCTATATGCATATATAGTAAAAATTTAAAAAATCTTCTTTTAAAGAACCGTAAGAGCTAGAGCTTAGATATTAAGCATGAAACATCTTCTAGTGAATGTCTACCAAGTTTGTTCAAATAAAAGCCCTGGGGTCAAAATTGGCCCCGCCCCAGGGGGTCATTGATTTTCCCTATATGCATATAGTAAAAACTTAAAAAATCTTCTTTTAAAGAACCATAACAAAGAGCTAGAGCTAGATATTTGGCATGAAACATCTTCTAGTGAGTGTCTACCAAGTTTGTTCAAATAAAAGCCCTGTGGTCAAAATTGGCCCCACCCCGGGGGGGTCATTGATTTTCCCTATATGCATATAGTAAAAACTTTAAAAAATTTCTTTTAAAGAACCATAAGAGCTAGAGCTTAGATATTTGGCATGAAACATCTTCTAGTGAATGTCTACCTAGTTTGTTCAAATAAAAGCCCTGGGGTCAAAATTGACCCCGCCCCAGGGGGTCATAGATTTTCCCTATATGCATATAGTAAAAACTTAAAAAATCTTCTTTTAAAGAACCCAAAGAGCTAGAGCTAAGATAATTAGCATGAAACATCTTCTAATGAGTGTCTACCAAGTTTGTTCAAATAAAAGCCCTGGGGTCAAAATTTGCCCCGCCCCGGGGGGTCATTGATTTTCCCTATATGCTTATAGTAAAAACTTAAAAAATCTTCTTTTAAAGAACTCAAAGAGCTAGAGCTAAGATATTTAGCATGAAACATGTTCTAATGGGTGTCTACCAAGTATGGTCAAATAAAAGCCCTGGGGTCAAAACTGGCCGCGCCCGGGGGGGGGGGGTGGGGTCATTGATTTTCCTTATATGTGTATAGCAAAAACTTAAAAATCTTCTTTGAAAAAACCCAAATAGCTAGAGTTTAGATATTAAACATGAAACATCTTTAAGTAAATATCTACAAAGTTTGTTCAAATAAAAGCCAGGAGGTCAAAACTGGCCCTGCCCCAGGGGTGTCATTGTTTTTAACTATATGTGTATAGTAAAAAGCTTTAAAAATCTTCTTTTAAAAAAACCCAATGAGCTAGAACTTAGATGTTTAGCATGAAACATCTTCTTATGTGTGTCTACCAAGTCTGTTCAAATAAACAAATAAAAGCCCTTGGGTAAAAATTGGCCCGGGGGTGGGGGGGGGGGCTATATACAGGTGAGCGACCTCAGGGCCATCATGGCCCTCTTGTTATAGAGTTATACACAGTTCGAGTTCAGATGCTCAGAAAAGTATGTGAATGGTATACTGTGGTATGAAGTTCAGGAAATAATTTTGAGTGTGTTTTTATAGAGTTATACACAGTTTGAGTTCAGATGCTCAGAAAAGTATGTGAATGGTAAACTGTGGATAATTATACAAAAGTGCACGAAAAATCATTATCTATTTCCATTTTAACTTGTTTATAAAAGAAGAGAATTAATAAGATATAATATAATAAGATATGTTGAACTACTTTTAGCAATAGCAGAGACGTAATTTTCTTGAAGTAATTTGGTTTTTGACACCACATTTGATGCTGTATGACATGTAAGCATTCCTGCTGTGCATTTTTGCGTAATTATGCACTGGACTGCCCTGTATGTTTTAATAGGGGAACAATGTGAAGGGTGTTAGAATATTTATAATGTGGGGTGAATTCGCTTAATTCAGATAATATTAAACTTACTGTCTTTTTTTGTTAAGTATGCTGTAGAAAATTCTTGATTTTATGTCTTTTATGGTATCAGTAATTCTGTTCAACAGTAATTGTTGTTTTTTAATCATTTCTGAAAAGAAATTGAGAAAGAATACAAAATATCTTGCATTAGTTATGGTTCAGTTTTAACTTTATGATTGAGAACTTAGCATTTCATTATAAGGCTATGACCAGTACAAAAATGCTAAATTATTATTTTAAAATCATTTAATTTCTCTTTTCTTGTTTGGATATTAAATAAAGGTAGTTCTATTTCCCTTTATTTTTACTTCTCATTCTTCATAAAGGTCATCAACACAATTTTAATAACTGCTGAAAATAGCATTTACAGTATATACAACCTTTCAGACTGAAGAAATTGCTGGATTAATTTGTTTGTTTAAAATCATTGCTACATATTGACTTATGCCAAAAGACACACCATGAAAAGCCACTTTCAGAGAGGCAATTTTAAAATAGCTTAAATTAAATGGTTTGGATCTATTTGTGAATATTCAGTATGTTCATGTATATATTAACATTTTAGGAGTTAGATAAGTCATGTATGTATGGAATGTTTGTGGTGGTAGAGTCCAGGGGTTATGATAACATTGAAGAGATATCTACAGAAAAATCTCAGCATGTCCATCTGACCCAACAAGCCACACAATCACAGGCCCTATACAGGTAACAGTTTAGTCATTATATATTTATATTTAGTTTAAAAGTTATGTATTTGAAATCACTTATAAAGAAAGTTTAAAGATGACTTAGATAACTTTGAAGTACACTTCCTTAAGTTAACTAACATTTAAGTATACATATTTCTTTAAATACAACCTTTCTTATACTTACTTAACTAACCATGGAGTACACTTCCTTAACTAACCATTGTGTAAACTTACTTCACTTACCATTGAATATACACCTTCACAACTTAACATTAAGCATACTTTCTCAACTAACCATTGCAAACACCTTCATGGCTACTTGACTAACTATTAAGTATACTTCCAGGACTAATGATTGAATACATTTCCTTGACCTTAGGGATCAAAAATTCCATTTGTCAGCCTGTACATTTTGTATTTACCAGTAAAATTTGAGAGAATTGACATCAGACGAGTGGGAAAATGTAACACGCTCATAAAAATTTATACTACTCATACTGCAGGGCAAATGGCTCTGAGTATTATTTTGAACTCTGTCATTTACTCACCATCAAGTATATTTCCTTAACAAACTGTTGTGTTAACCATTGGTCAAGTTGACTGAAAATAAAATTTGCATTTTTTGCACCCACATTACCCCTATTGTCACAAATATTCTTATTAATGGCATGCTTTCTACATTCATAATAGTTTTAATATTTCAATTACAGGTTTGTTTTACCCAAGGACACAGTAGAATATACAGTAAAAATAGACAATTGTATAGTGACATCATTAGATACATCAGCTGAACAAACTAACACCTCAAATGTGAATGAAACAGAACCAGTGTTGCCATCAAGGTCAACCAATTGTCCTATAGTGATGACGATTGAGGCAGAGATGTTACCGAGCCCAAAATCAAAGTTCAAATTGGCATGTGGAAATAAGACAGTGTGCAGTAAAACAGTTTTATCACCAGTACTTCATAAATGGATGTACATTTTGTTAACAGTTGACAATGACTTCAATGTGTCGGAGATTCAGTTCCAATTACATTTTGAGAAGAAAGGTAAGAAATGATACGTTTTTAGTACAAGAACATTTCCTTTTTTTCTAGACCAACACATGCTCACCATGTTTAATATTTTGTTTTAGTTTTTGTTAAACTTAAATGAATTCCAATTTTCCCCAATTCTCAAACAATAAATTTCATCTGAAATTTAAAGAAAAAATTTAATTGATAAGGACCTTTTACAAGGTACTTGCAAAGAAATGAAAAAGGTTATATAGTCTAAATATCCTGAAACATGTTGATGTAGTATATTATGTAGATAGTTCAATATATATTTGTATATTTAAAGTAATGAAGAGTCGATCATACATAAATTATTATCTGCGTTCAATTTTCAGGCTGTGAATCATTGAAACTGTTGTTACCAAAGACAATATATGAAGCTACAACAAGAGACAAGAATTCCAACAGTTTACAGCTTTCCCAGGATTCCTGCATCAAAATGGCTTCCCTTGGACGATTTATTTTTAACCAGCTGACCTTTAACCTCTCATACCTTTTGTCTGAACCAGGACCTATACCTATCCCAGCTATGTTAGATAAACTTTACATCCCAGATTATCAGGTGTTAGTTACAGATATCAGTGTACAAGAAGGCACAGATATAGGAGGAACTTTAGTGTTAGATGTCAGATTTATAAAGGCTTCTTTAGAAGTAAGTATAGGTTTGGACACATTTAATAAAATAAGGTATATCTTAGGCCCCAGGCATAAGAATAGGAAGTAATTTACTTTTTTCCCAGTTTTTGTAAAGTTAAATTTTTTTAGGCATTTTCCCAATAAAAAGCCTTGTTTACAAATGCATTCTTAAACAAAGGTTAGTTTGGTAGAATTGATTCAAGTCTATAGTGATTGGAATACATTAAAAAGTCTTTATTTAAATGGTATCTTTACCAAGTTTACTTGCACATTTTCTATTTGGTCATCTAAATTACACATATTTGACATTAAGGTATTTAACCTTTATTGTGCTGAAACTTTTAAGTGATTATCCTTTACCGCCTGTGTAGAGTCAGGCCAGCTTGCACATCCTTGCCAGTGCAGGCTATATTCTGTTCACTGACTATTAATTTCATCTTAATATCCCTAGACTTGATTGATAATGAACAGTTCAAACAATAGAAGATGGAGAAGTATATTTAAGAATTTCAGCATTTTGATATTAAAAAGAATACTTTGGTGTTTTCAGACTTCCAAACATTCCATAGTATTGTTTGTATGTCTGATGAAAAATTCTATACCTGGAGGTGAAACGATTGCATCATGTGAGACTGGTGTACAGATAATCCTGAATACAACATCTGAACAACTCAAGGACACAGTCTATGTGCCATACCCAGAGGTGGGAATATGGTACCTGGCTCTCAATAGTAGATGTTACAAAAAGGATACCAAGTAAGGAGGTTTTATTCTTGTTAACATAATACTGCCCCCTCTCTTCTGTGAAATGGACAAATCTTTTCCATTTTCAAATAATAGTATTTCATCTGCAAATACTAACTACATATATTTAATTTTTTTTACCATTCAACAATGCACCTTTTTCATTACTTTGTACACTTCAGAGGATAATACATTAAATATATTTTTTCCACTTAAGAGGGTTTTACAGTACATGGTCACCTACATTTTTCATTCACTGTAAAGTGTTAAATGGGACACCTGATATCAAATGAATATTTTGTCAGGACGCATTTAATTATCATTATTCATGTATGTTTTGTAACAGATATACTGTATATAAAACTTGATCAAGAAATGACCAAAAAAAACAAGTTCATTATATGGTTTCTAATATTTCTATGGTATATTTAACCAGTCCTATAAGTTACTATCTGTGTGTGTGTGATAAAAGGTGTTTATATTTTCAGGGCTGTAACCAGGTGTCTAGGAGCGCCTCAAGTGGACATTGACTTGTCAATATCTGGATGTTTAGATGGTCAATGTGGCGAGTATGGTGCCTGTCAGGATTATATCAGTGGCGTTCATGTGTTCAGCTCATGCAAGTGTTTTGCAGGTACAAAAAATTCCCATTGCTATTTTTGCTGTATCAAAATCAATTGTTTCAGGGGCTACTGTGGCTGACTAGTTTTCCTTGAATGGCTAACATCTTTGGATTTATTCTCACTACAGATTTTGGATTATTTCATGTTATGAAGCTATCCATCTTACTTTTTGAAGGTTTGTGGTTCTGCTCTGTTGCCTGGTCTTGCCTGAAATAATACACATAGTGGCAGTTAATTTTCCTTCATCAGTAAAGTACGAAAGTCGATATGACCTTGAATTCTTAGAGTGTCTTTTGACATAAAATGAAACAAAACTTTTTTTCATAGAAAGTGCATTTGCTTGTGGGTTTTGTTTCTAAAGTTTGAACCTTCCATGATAAATATTTAGCCACCAAATACTTGCCTCATAAATTATAAGTAGACCAAATGATTGAATCAGAAGATACTCGTAGAAAAAGTTTAGGATTTTTGGAAAAAAAATCACTCGGCAATTATATGTACAAGTAAATGCTAGACAAATACTTTCTTTTAATGTGCAAATATAGAAAATAATTAAGTGTAATATGTCTTTTCACAAGAATGTTAAATATTTATACCCCCACCACAAAATGTGGGGGGGCTATAATGGATTCGCTTTGTCGCGTCGGTCGGTCGGTCGGTCGGTCGGTCAGTCAGTCGGTCGGTCGGTCGGTCCGTCCGTCTCCATTTTCGTGTCCGCTCTATAACTCCTATACCACTTGAAGGATTTTCTTCAAACTTGGCTCAAATGTTCACCTCAGCAAGGGGATGTGCAGAACCCATGTTGCCCATGTGTCAGCTCAAGGTCAAGGTCACAATTGAAGGTCAAATATCAAACACAATCATATATTAGACAGTATGTCGTGTCCGCTCTGTAGGTCCTACAATAATTGAAAGATTTTCTTCAAACTTGGCTAAAATGTTCACCTCAGCAAGGGAATGTGCAGAACCCATGTTGCCCATGTGTCAGCTCAAGGTCAAGGTCACAATTGAAGGTCAAATATCAAACACAATCATATATTAGACAGTATGTCGTGTCCGCTCTGTAGGTCCTACAATAATTGAAAGATTTTCTTCAAACTTGGCTAAAATGTTCACCTCAATAAGGGGATGTGCAGAACCCATGTTGCCCATGTGTCATTTTAAGGTCAAGGCCAGGATTGAAGGTCAAATATCAAATAATCAAATATTACACAATATGTCATGTCCGCTCTGTAAGTCCTACACTAATTGAAAAATTTTCTTCAAACTTGGCTCAAATGTTCATTTCAACAATGGGATGTGCAGAACCCATGTTGCTCATTGTGTCAGCTCAAGGTCAAGGTCACAGTTGAAGGTCAAATATCAAACAATTAAATATTACACAGTATGTCGTGTCCGCTCTGTAAGTCCTACACTTATGGAAAGATTTTCTTCAAACTTGGCTCAAATGTTCACCTCAACAAGGTTATGTGCAGAACCCATGTCACTCTTTTGCCGGCTTCAGGTCAAGGTCACACTTGAAGGTCAAAAATTGACTTAGAAAATGTTCTTTAATTTTAACATATATCTGAATATTTCTGAATCTAGGAAAGGTATTTGCTTGAAACTTAAAATATAAATGAAGTGTCACAATTAAGATATGCTGGTCAAGTTTCATAACTCTGTGTTGCATTTTAACAAAGTTATGCCCCTTTTTAATCTTCAAATTTACATACAATCACATATTAGACAATATGTTGTGTCAGCTCTATAAATCCTATACTAATGGAAGAATTTTCTTCAAACTTTTCTCAAATGTTCACCTAAACAAGGTTATGTGCAGAATCTATGTCACCTTTGTGCAGACTAAAGTCAAGGTCAGACTTGAAGGTCAAAAATTGACTTAGAAAATGTTCTTAGATTAAAACATGTTCTTGAATATTTCGGAAACTAGCATAGGTATTTGCTTGAAACTTAAAAGATATATGAGGTGTCACAATTACAATATGCAGGTCAAGTTTCATAACTCTGTATTGGATTTTGACAAAGTTATGCCCTTTTTAAGTCTTTAAATTTACATACAATCAATACTAGACAATATGTTGTGTCCGCTCTATAAATTCTATACTAATGGAAGGATTTTCTTCAAACTTTACTCAAATGTTCACTCCAATTGGGCGATGTGCAGAACCCATCTTACCCTTGTGCCAGCTTAAGGTCAAGGCCACACTTGAAGGTCAAAAATTGACTTATAAAAAGTTTAGTATATTGGGAAAATCAAAGGTTATTTGTAACTGTTTCGAACATGATTTGATAATAGATATTTTTACTATTACCTGTACAATTAGTCTTTTTTTTCACCAGAGATAATTTCTTTTTATGTATTTGTGTCACTTAAGTTATTCCCTTAACCACCTTTCCAAGTTGTCTTCTGTCAAGGACATTGGTGGGGGTATGAATCGCATTCAGCGATAGTTCTAGTTGCTTATGTTGTCACTGATATATGTTTCAGGTTGGCGGGGCTACGGCTGTACCGACGGTACACATGGACGGAGTAAGAATGAAGAGTTAGTTGCGTTGCTGCTGCTTACTTTAAGCAATCTGTTCTTTATTCCGTCAATTATTGTCGCTTTGTACAGACGTTACTTCACAGAGGCAGCAGTGTACACTTACACCATGTTTTGGTCTGCAGTAAGTTTATAACTTAAGGGACTGTATTAAAGACCCATTAAGCTCTGACATGTTAACATTTTATTTCTCAATTTTTTTATTTTTTAGATCATGTTACAGTTTACAAAAAAACACTTTGTATATATGAACTAACTTTTGCTTCTTTTGTTCTTAGGCAATTTGTATAATTGTAGTGATTTTGTATGGAAGTTAAAATACTATTTTGTTTACATTTTGCTACCTTAACAACACATAACTGCAGGTTCAATGATATCTATTCAGTTGTTTATCAAACATTCTCTAAATCCATTATTGAAATATCATTAAACACATAATTGACCTTTCTTGGGCAAAATGTGCCTTGAAACAAATATTTCCTAAAGGTCAATAATTTTGTTTAGCATCTATGAGACACCAACTTTTATATAAAACAACACAGACATTAAGTACTGTGTTTATTTGTTGTCTTAAGATTATTGTAAAAAGGGTAATTCAGGCAATGGCAACTGAGGTTGTTCCCCATCAGCAAAGCTTGTAAGTAGCCATATGACTTTTACAGTGTTAGTATGACTAAAAAATACAACCAGTCTATCTGTTGTATTGAAAACATTATTATTTTATTTTAGATATATCATGCATGTGATGCAAGTGACCTTGTTTATTACTGTCTCCTGGACTATGATCTACTCAGTTTTGCTGATTTCTTGGGCTCAATATATTCCTTTTGGGTGACAATGTTAGCAATGGCAGTGATACCAACAAAAGTTCGAACCTTTGCACAGGCATTAGGAGCTTTAGGTGTAGCGGTCGGGGTAGAGTATAAACGCCATGGAATTTTTGCCTTTGCTCTCCCTGCAGGCATTGCTGCAATAGTTATGTTTGGATCTTGGGTAAGTTGTAGTTGAATTATAAATACAACTTATATGTTAAAACATGTGGCCTTCCTTGCAAACTGGTCAAGGTTGCTGACTATGAAGTACTTACCTCTGTTAGTTAAAACCTTTACATGAAGTCTTCTTCCACAAACTGTAAAGCTGGAAAGATGCTATATGGCAGTCATTGTTAGTGAGACTTCTAACAGCAAAAAAAAACAACAACACACAACCAAATAACAAATAAGATAACCAAATAAATTTCTTTATGCAGTTTATTAGAGAATCATTTATAGGATCACCAGTCTTTCCTAAGTCATTATGATGATCAAATGAATTTTGTTTCAATGGTGGTATACAAGAGCACCTTGAGTAGGTGTTAATTTTGATTTGTCAATATAAACCTTTTCTGTATACAATAGATTCACTTGTATGTACTGGTTGGAGACCACCAAAACCGGACAACCACTCAACCCGGACAGCTCCGAAAATTGCTTTTTTATTTGTTGAGTGGTTGTAGATCTATCAGTCGCTTTTATATCAACAATAACTGCATGTTTGTTCTATAATTAAGTAATTAAATTTATTTCAAATTTCGTAAGTGGTTATGTTTTAATGTCTTTTTCAAGAACGTTGACATTGAAAATTTGGACCTGACCACTTATACTAGCTGTAATTATTTGTAGAGTAAATAATAGAATATCCAAAATTTCAGCATTTGCTGCTGAAATATTTTATATTATGTTAACAATAAACACCAAAAGTTTTAATGAATTAAATCAGCATCATGGTCATATCTGTCCGGACACATGGTACTGTAGTGTGGACAATTCAGGTAATTTTGATACCCTCCTTCACATGCCTCAGATATAAGTGCCAACATAAATAGAAATAAACAAACTAGTCCGTTAGTTCGGTGAAGAACCTAGCTTTACTATGTAAAAATTTCAGATCTCTAGCTTATAAATTATAAATGTTCAAAAAGTGTCCAGTTGGTGGTCCCCGACCAGTAATGCTTAACATTTTTTGTTGACTGGTGACTTTGGATGAATACAATTTTAAATTTAAATATTAAATATTGTGGGGGAATGTAGATGATAACCATTTATCTAGAATATTTGGAGTTGTATATACAGGAGGTCTTTAATTTTTCTACAGGGCTTGCAATGTAAAAGACGTAGAAAGTTGTTTCCGCAAAAGAGATACATTCTTCTGCACCTTATACCTGGAGTAGTTCTAGCATTTACAGGTATGGGGATATTTGCATTCCTAGAGACAGAAGAGAACTACAAGTATACTCACAGTTGTTGGCATGTTGCCATGTCTCTATCAGTTGTATTCCTGCTCCCAGGACGACAAACCAAAGGTATAGATATCACTGAGACTAGTTCAAATAACCTTACTAACAGTAATAGTGCTACTAACTCACGGATAGTGCTCAGTTCCTACGCTGATATGCCCAATGGTCATGTGACCAGTAGTGAAAGTGTGGAAATCAGCATGGGAGATAATCCAGCATATTCTCCACCTGAGTAACATAAAGTGATTCTCACGCTTTTGTAGTTATAATGCTTTCTCATTATATGCTCATATACTAACATTGATTGATCCCTATGTTATAAAATACTTGCTTTTTATTTGAGATTTGTTCATCATAACAAGGACAATGGGCTTGGTATTGAAATTATTTTTGAAAGAAATCCATAGAAGTGAGAGAGAAAAAATGCATTATTTTTAATATTTTTTTTTAACTTGATATATTAAATGTGCATCAAGCTTCTTTAGCTAATAATTATGTTTACAAGAAAAAGTGACATAAACATGTATTGACCAAAATTTTGTTTTTTACGTATTTTTATAATATGATCGGTGAAAGTTTTCAGGATTATTCTTGAACTTAAGATCTTTTTTTAAAATGAAACTACCGCATATAAGCATAGTTTTAAGCATAAAAGTATAAAACTGTCACCAATGCACATGTACAAAAGTTTCTTACAGAAATATTGCCTTTTCAACACATTCCTGAAAATGTTTTTTGTAAACTGAATTTTTTTTTTTTTTTTTGTAAAAAAAACATCAAATGATTAAAGGCAGTTAACTTTCCTTTCATGTACATTTTTTTCTCTGATTAATATGAATTTAATTCTTCATAATTTTGAAAACATACTTACGAAAATATCAAAATTCTAGATACATCGTTTTCCAATTAGTTTGATAATACACTTGTACCATCCTAGTTACAAATAGTATATGTTTTAATAGGAAATAAGCTGGACTTGGAACAGTCTGTTTTTATTCTTGCATGTTAGACTGGATTTTTTAGTGTTTGCACCAGTCCTGTGCTTGATAATGCCATCTTATACCATTAAATCAACTTTATAAATGAATTGCATGTTTTAGGATGGTGTCATTCCACTATTATGAATATGGCTGTAAATAAATACACTACTATTGTATAGTGAAATTAATAAAAAGCACAACACATTAATTATAAATAATTTAACAATACAGCACTTTTAAAGGTTATTCTCAACACCTTTTCTGAAAATATTAAACACTCCAAGATGATAACTACTTTGCTAGATCTGTTTCCCTATTTCAAAGGTCAAGGTCACAATTTACAGATTAATGGAAACAAACTTCATATGATTTGCATACCATTGTTCTTGACTTATTTCCTATAAGTTATTGAAGGAATTTGACATAAACTGATCGATTCAACTGTCTTGACATGACAATAACATGTTGTTGTGCAATAATTTCTCAAAGGTCAAAGGTCATACTAAGAGTGAATATACCTTTTCTCTTGAAATTTAGTTCTCCTTAATGGCTTAGCTAAATGGGAAGAGTACGGGATTTGTATTTCAGGGATTGCTGGTTTGATCCTTGAATGAGATGAAATTTCTCTAAAGACAGCTAATCTCGGACATTGTGTCTAATGGTCATTTGTCTCCCACCACTAATTGTTAAATCAGTTGGTTTATGCAGTTGCTCACTTGCAAAGATATTAATCATAACTGATTAAGTTGCTATGGAAAGCTGGTTAAAGTACCAAACTACTGATAAGTTACAGGGAAGCCTGGCTTAGTGGACCAACAGTGGACCAATGGCTGAGATAATAAACTAAAGTGTGTTAAAATTATACAAATAAATTCTGAGTATTACTTTATAGTGCCAGGTCATGTGTGCAATAAAAATTCACAATTTTTATAAGCTTTTTTCAAGTTTAGCATATGTAAACTGTTGTTGTGTTGTTTTTTTTTATCTTACACATGCTATGTGTATAATCATGTTCATATTCTTTTATGTTGATTCAGATTAAATGTAAGAAGCAGTCAGCATTTTTAGATGTGAACTTTCTGCGAAACATATCCTTGAAATTCATGCCAAAATTTTTTTCTATAGTATGCTTAAAGCTATTTTTATTTTGCAAGTGCCAAAATGATAGCAATCTGCCATTTTACAAGTAATTTCTACTTCAATGTATAAATTATGAATTCGAATGTTTATGCATTTTTGTTTGTGAAATTTTATTATTATTATCATGGTATGAGTTTTTTTGCATGTCACAAATTTTGCGAGAAAGCAATGGTAATGATTAGATTGTAAAGAAGCATGTTAAATCTTGCTTTATAATCAAATACAGCTGGGATAGATGAAAATGTGACCTTTGTAGTGTTGTAAAACAGGAACAATGCAGAAAAATAACCAAAAAATAAAACACATTGAGGAAAAAAATGGATTTTTTTGCTGCATTGTCATTGTTTTATAAAGTGTCAGGACCAATTTTATTCTGTACTTTAATTTATGGTAATATTAATATTTTGTTAGTACATAAACAATGTTGTTATGTTTTTCGGTCCATTTGGGTAATTGATTGCTTAGGGCAGTGCTTGGGTGTGGGGTAGGGGTACAGTGAGAGATGTTGCCTCCATGCATGATCAGGGTCAGTGAAACAGACTCAGCAATTTTCACCCATTTATTTTTGTTAACCTAGCTCTAAAGGGATTTAAGGATTTTTAAAACACCTTTTCTCTGTAACCAAAGGTCATTTCAGAATAGGTCACAAAAAGAATGGGAGTATGAAATTATTTATTGATTTTAAATATTTGCTTGCAAATTTGTATTGATTTCAAATGAATGTAGAATATTAATTTTTGATAATTCGATACCTATTCGATTTAAACCAGCTATTAAAAAAAAAAAAACAAGGTTAATGAAAGTGCTGGTATTGTAGTAGAATGGGGTAAGATACAATTTATTTACTTTGGAAAATTAGTCAATCAGACCTATATCAAATTAAAGTAAATCAAACATATGCATATTATCAATATGTTAATAGTAATACAATTAATACTAATATCACTTTTTAATGTGTCTAATTATTTAATGACCATTGATTTAATTATTTAATGCTGTTGATTGAACTGTAATCAAAAATATTACTTCAGTTATATGTATATAAATTTTATTCATAATATCATTGAATTTCGCAATGTAAAATTTATAATTAATACACCAGTTAATTGTTACCCCTTCTTCCCTCACCCCCTTATACCTAATCTTAGGGTAAAATGGAGGATAGTGGTAGAAATGAACTAATGTAATACCTTTCATCTATCCTGGTGTAATTAAGGTGGTGGGTTTCTTTTAGCTTGAAGTGTGAGGGCATTAAGCAGGAATTTTACAATTGACTTGAGGATATAATTGAGGAAAGTGTCTCAAGGAGTAGCCTGATTTTATTTCTCTTTTTTTACATACCAAGTATGTCAGATATACTCTGATATGTTATTGTCCATCAGTATGACTGTATGTTTGTAACATAATTTCTATCTGTGTAATATCTGTGGAAAAACTTATGATTGTGATTATTTCTATTTTGCATACTTTGTTTAATATCACAGATCAACTTCTACTTTTGGTACAATGCATTGACTTATACACTATTTAATAGCCCTCAAAGAAATTTACCATCAGGACTTTAACACACTGTAACTGCCTCTATGTCTTGTAGGGAAAGGTGCCATTTGCATGTTATTCAATACATTACATGAGAAAAAATGTAAACATGATTAAGCTTTAACCTGACCTTTTAATATCCTGTATATTTTTAGCTCGCCTAAGGTGAGCTTTTGTGATCGCAGTATGTCTGTTGTCTGTAGTTATCCACAATTTCTTAAACAACATTTCCTAAACCACTTGATAGAATATGCCTTTACTTCAACAGAATTATTTCGGTTGTCCTCTACAAAGGTTTTAATGGTACCAGTCTGATGGCAGAAGCTAAAGATATACTTGAAAACTTTAAATATCTTCCTTAGAATCTACAATGCAGAGAGCTTAAATATTTGGCATTTAGCATTACCATATGATCTTCTACAAAGTATATATGAATCATGACCCTGCAGTCAATGACAGCCCAACCATATGGGTTACTTAGTTGACATAGGCTTATATAGGAAAATTCTTTTAAGTCTTCTTTTATGAAACTGCAATGCTCAGTGCATAGATATTTGTCATGTATTATAACTAAGTGGACCTCTACAAAAGTTATATAAATCATGGCCGTATGGTCAAAATTGGCCCCAACCTAGGGGTCACTTTATTTACATGCTATTGTATAGTAAAATTATCTTTAACAATTGCAATGCCTAGATCTTAGATATTTAGCATGCTGAAACACAGTGTGACCTCCTACAAAAGTTAATAAATCATGTCCCTGGGGTCAAAATTGGCCCTGCCCCAGGGTTACTTAGTTTATAACATTGTATAGGAAATATATACATGTATAAGTCTTCTTTTGTGAAACAACAATGCTCAGATACTCAGCTTAGATATTTAGCCTGTACCATTGCCAAGTGGACCTCTATAAAACATGTATAAATTATCAGTTATCCTAAAATGTTTCAGACTTCTACAATAATGCTCGCATCAAAATGAGGTACACATATATTGGTCAATCTCACATATGTGTACTTTAAAGTTTGTATACAGCTATGTTTTAACATAGCATGATGTGTTAAAGTTGGCCTTTATTATTGTGAAATTGTTACTGATTGTTAAAGAATTTTTGATATATACTTACTTTTAAATTATGTAAAGAAATAAAGAAGATTGATATATATATTTGTTTTGTTAAAATTTGTCTAACAACAAAGAAGAATTTACACAAAGTTACATTGATTTAGATGCATGTACAGTATATTTTACTTTTATAGAAAATATTTACAATTTTTGTTAAGCTGTCTGCTTGTGATTTATTTTCTACAGAACATTTTGAAATGTTATGTTAAAAGAAAATTTTGCGAAATACTGATTAAAGTTTAAACCAGCATGCCATAGTACGCCTTGTTTTGATTTTAATTTTTGTTTGCTATTCTTCTTGTAGAAACATTAACAGAAGAATTGAATACAGTTTCAACAGATGTCGATCCATCAGAAGTAGGTCATTTAGATACTGCGAATTCTGTAGATGCAGATCAACAATTGTCTGACAACACCTGATTTAAAAGTAATATTTACAATCAGCAAATGACTACAGATTCTTACAGTATCAAAAGTCAATCTTGAGATGACCCAATACGTCTTCCAGTGATGCAAATCTGAATTTAAAGAACGATTGTGGTATTCAGATATTGCGCTTGGAATCAGAACGATGAGTTGACAACTCACATGTGGTGCCACATTAATTTTTGAAGTGTTACTTTGATCACACAAGTGGTGCATTTTATGCCCCCACAAAGTGGGGTGCAATATAGTGTTGCACTTGTCCATCCGTCCGTCCGTACGTCTGTCCGAGCAAACATTTTTGGGTTTAGGGCTATGTAACAGTAAAGAGAACAAAAGAGAACAATAGGTTCATTCCGTGATCAAAGGGGTTTATGGGCTAGTAGCACTTAAGAAAACATAGAAAATAACAAAGAAAATAGCCCCTAAACCCAAAATGTTGGAACGTCCGTCCATCTGTCCGTACATCCCGAAATCTTGTGAAAGCAACTCCTCTTAAACCGGATGGCAGATTTTGCTTAAACTTCCAGGGATGAACAACCTTAATGTGTAGATGGTAGTAAAGAAGGAATTTCGCTGGGACCAAATTTAACAGCAATTATGGCCCTTTGTTGATTTTTTCACTATATACTATGTAGAAATTTTGTGAACGCAACTCCTCTTAAACCGGATGGCAGATTTTGCTTAAACTTCCAGGCATGAACAACCTTAATGTGTAGATGGTAGTAAAGGAAGGAATTTTTGCTGCGACCAAATTTTACAGAATTATGGCCCTTTGTTGATTTTTTCACTATATACAGTTGAGTTCACACTAAAGGTTACACAAAGTGCACTAGGAGTGCACTACATGTGCACTACTAGTGCACTTCAAAGTGCACTAGTAGTGCACTACTAGTGCACTTTGTAGTGCACCAGACCTATTATATGTATTAAGCTGAGTTCCCTTTTAGTTCAATGAATAGCAATTTGACTTTTACAAAAAGATAGATAAATATAGATATCTGTATAATAGTTTTTCATAATAAATTTGAAGTTGTGAATATTGAATTTTGTAAAATATTAGAACAATAATTTATCAAAGTCATTAATTTTACTGATTTTTAAACTTAATTGTTAGGATAAGTAAATATAAATAATTATAACTTTAATGTTGATAAAAGTGCATAAATAAACAAAATTAATTGATATTTAATATGATTCTATTTTATTATAATCTGGTAATGAAATATGAAACATTGAAATGCTAATTAAACAAAATTCTGTCAAGTTTTTTTGGGGTTTCTTTCTTTTTTGGAGGGGGAGGGGGGCTCTTAACTTATGGTTGTTTTAGTTAAAGGTTATGATTTTAAGCATTAATAGCCTTTAATACATTAAAGATTTAATATGTTTATAATTGGCCAAAATTTTGTCAATTTTATCTCATTTATAATCTCTTTTACCTTCTGAAACTGAGATTTACCTAAGATTAATATAAATGATACATATATTATTCTAAAAATAAATATTTATATATAATGGTGGTATATTAAGTAATGATCTGTGTTTATTAAGTATTGATATGTACCTGTGGGACACTAGTATACTTTAACTGACATGGATATTAACAAAAAGATTAGAAAATCTTTCAATTCCTTTTTTTGATACGACACCAATCTTTTCTTTTCTTTTTTTCCTGCATTTTAACATAATTATGCAATATGATTATTTTTATGAGTTCATTATAAAATGCAAAAATATTTCAGTTTTGTACTACTTGTAATGAAATTTATTTGCACCAACATCCAGAGAATACAGAATTTACATTGCCTACTTATATTTATCATCTGCCTTTTGTTATATACCCTGAGGGACTCTCTTATCAGCAGGGTACTATATTAAAACACCAATACACAGCATGACTTTTAACACTTCAATCTTCTGTAACTGTTTTCTGCTCATGTATGGTATTTTATTAAAAAAACAAACAAAAAAAACAGATCTGCATAAAAGTGAAAAGGAAGTTACAAAAGTTTTATAATCATGTATTTAAATATTTTCTTTAAAATATATTATTTTCATAATGTGTTAAAACTGACAAGGTAAATTTGTCAAATCTATAATAGAAAAAATTAACATTTCCCAGTTCAGAAACTAAAAGATGATTTAAATGCAGAATTGCAAGAAATGTGGATAAATATGAGGTCATTCCAGAATAGTTAACACTGATATTGATTTTTAACCAATTTTTTATGATAAGATTAGAAAATTCCACTTCAAAGACAATAATGACAATAATATCTAACATGCGTTTATGCCACTATTATTATTTTTTTACATTCAAAAATTATAGTTATTTATCTTAAATGCCTTACATGTATTTTGGAAAAAAAAAACACAGGAAATTTTAAATAAATATTGCATACATCTGCATTTTTGTTATTTACCCTGGGGCCCTCTTATCAGCAGGAGACCAGTATAATGAAAACAGGCACTCTCAGAAAAATACAAATACACAGCATAACTTGAGACTGTCCTCTTGTATAAAAGCATTCCCTTTATACATTAATTTTTTAATATAGAAATCTTAAATCAAGTTATCAATTTTATTTATTTCATGCACAGATATATAAACTTATATTAAGCTCCATGATTTCATGGAAATTTTTTAATTATTTATATCTTTAAAAAGTATGCAAGCATTTCATGTTTGAAAAACATAATATCACAGTGTATGGATTGTTTTAAAATAAATGAATTTATATTCTCTTTCAATCTTGAACATGAGGAATTGCCTTATTTATAAGTTATATATTATTATGCAGAGTGGTAAGAAATGTGGATAATTGGATAAATATAGAATTTTCCGCTTTAGAGACAATAATATCTATTATGCATGTATGCCATTATGATTTTTTATTGTATATAATATTTGATTATACAAAAATTATTGTCATTTATCTATATGACTAACTAGCCTGAGTGCCAACGCCTGATGAATCCCAGGCTTATGTCTAACATGCATTTTGAGAAAACCAGGGAATTTCAATGCATACTTATAATCTGCAAAATTGACTGTTTTGTTATTTACCCTAAGGCACTCTTAATCAGCAGGAGGGTGGTACAATGAAAACAATCCATCTCAGTAAAATACCAATACACAGCATGACTTGAGATTTTCCTCTTCAATAAAAGTATTCCCTTTTTACATTAAATTTTTAACATTGAAATCATGAATAACGTTATCAAATTTATTTATTTTATGGATAATATTTTAATTATCTATATCTTTAAAACATATGCAAGCATTACACAGTTGAATACTAAATTATCACAGTATATTGATTGTTTTAAAATCAATGTATTAATATTCTCTTTCAATATCGACATGAGGAATTGTCTCTAAGTTATATATTATAGAAATAATATTTTAGCTTAAATATAAACCTTTCCATGATTTGTTTTAGCTTATGAAAAAAAGTTTATGTTGTTACAAACTAAATTAATTGGGCCAGAATTATCACATTTTGATTTTCCCATTTGTACCCTATAAAAATTGAAATACATGGCCATTAAAAATACCTTTAAAAAACACTTTTACACAATTATCCATTACGGAGAATATTTAAATTTAACCTTATTAATTCTATAAATTTGATTTTAAGGGATATTATTTTACACTTACATTTAAATACTTGTTAATGATTACAATAATAGGATTACAATAAACACTTTTTTTTAATTTTAAGCTTTAACATGATATCACCTAAAATGTTAAAATTTTAAAAAACTTATTTATATTCATGAATAGGCCATATATGCCCAAAGTTTTTTGTCTGACAGCAGCTTAACAATAGATGCCCCCTGTCACTTGATATACAATTATCCAATAAACCATTTAGGTGTCATTCACCTTCCCTGGCCAGCCTGGTCATATGGTCTAGTGCACTAGAAGTGCACACGGTGTGCACTTCTAGTTCAGCTCTAGTGCACTAGAAGTGCACAAGGGTGGGAAGTTTAGTGTGAACTCAACTGTACCATATAGAAATTTTGTGAACGCAACTCCTCTTAAACCGGATGGCAGATTTTGCTTAAACTTACAGAGATGAACAACCTTAATGTGTAGATGGAAGTAAAGGAAGGAATTTTTGCTGCGACCAAATTAAACAGAATTATGGCCCTTTGTTGATTTTTTCACTATATACCATAAATATGTTGTCAGTGGGGGCATCCGTGTCCTTTGCACACAGTTCTAGTTTTTTGTAATTTGGTGAGATATGTTATTTTAGCGAAAGCCCCAACTTAAAAGATCTGAACTGAAAGGCTAATATCCATCCTGTAAGATTTGAAGTTCCATTGTCCAATAATCCAAAAAGAGGTTGAAGTTTTACTAGATTTCCATAGAGATTTATGAGTCTAACTTAGCTAAAAAAAAAATGCGTGAATTTCGTGAAATACATTTGTTGATATTATAATATCAGAGGGATTCCACACACCAAGTCCTAGGGACCATGACAATGATAATTGTATAGGAAGTCAGATTGTGAAGGAATTGTAATGGAATTTTAACATTAAGTCACAGTCTGTCCTTTTTATGTTATCTATCTGGTCATCTATTCTATATAATATAAGAATGATTATAGCTAACAGTTTGACCTTCCCATTTTCTGTCATTTAGTCACATCTACTAATTGCTTTTCAATGTTTCTTCAATTTAATTCACTTAGAGGACTTTTCAATTCCTTCCAAACATGGCCAATAACTTAAAGGAAGTTAACTTGTATTTTATTATTTAACTAATTCACATGTGCCAACACATTTTAGGCATACATATTATAGTGATCGGTGCGGTGTTATATTCTTTTGTA